TACACAATGGATTGCTTTCTCTTCTCCTCTCCTTCTTCTTCCCCCATACCACAGCAACAGTACGTGTTTCAACATCTGATACATCTCACATGCCAAATGAGAATCCTACAACAAAAATCCAAATTCAGAATGATGCCACGGTAAGTATTTTTTTTCATTACATTAAACCTTTAACCTCCTCACAAATTATCACTACTACTAATGGGAATCCCATCAGATTCGATGTCACTGACCCTATAACTTATAGGAATCCCTGTGTGTGAGACGCTCTCTTATCCCATCAGAGGGGACGACACTGACCCTATAACTTATAGGAATCCCTGTGTGTGAGACGCTCTCTTATCCCATCAGTGGGGACGTCACTGACCCTATAACTTATAGGAATCCCTGTGTGTGAGACGCTCTCTTATCCCATCAGAGGGGACGTTACTGACCCTATAACTTATAGGAATCCCTGTGTGTGAGACGCTCTCTTATTCCATCAGAGGGGACGTCACTGACTATAACTTATAGGAATCCCTGTGTGTGAGACGCTCTCTTATCCCATCAGAGGGGACGTTACTGACCCTATAACTTATAGGAATCCCTGTGTGTGAGACGCTCTCTTATCCCATCAGAGGGGACCTCACTGACCCTATAACTTATAGGAATCCCTGTGTGTGAGACGCTCTCTTATCCCATCAGAGGGGACGTCACTGACCCTATAACTTATAGGAATCCCTGTGTGTGAGACGCTCTCTTATCCCATCAAAGGGGACGTCACTGACCATATAACTTATAGGAATCCCTGTGTGTGAGATGCTCTCTTATCCCATCAGAGGGGCGTCACTGACCCTATAACTTATAGGAATCCCTGTGTGTGAGACGCTCTCTTATCCCATCAGAGGGGACGTCACTGACCCTATAACTTATAGGAATCCCTGTGTGTGAAATGCTCTCTTATCCCATCAGAGGAGCGTCACTGACCCTATAACTTATAGGAATCCCTGTGTGTGAGATGCTCTCTTATCCCATCAGAGGGGCGTCACTGACCCTATAACTTATAGGAATCCCTGTGTGAGATGCTCTCTTATCCCATCAGAGGGGGCGTCACTGACCCTATTATTATTGGCATTTATAAAGCATCAGCGTGTCTTCATCGATATCTTCAATATCTTAAAGTGGAAGATTTAACAATAAATAAGGCCATTAGAAGTTGTTACATGAGCTCACACTTTAGAAGACTCCACAACTTATACAAATACCTGTGTTGAGATGCTCTTATCCCATTAGTAGGCGCCATCACAGATACTATAACTTATAGGAATCATTCTGTATGAGACACTCTTATCCCATCAGAGGAGAACACGAGTAACTCTCTAACGTGTAAGAATCTCTTTTCCCATATTCGTGACCTGCAAGGTTCAGTCTATGGAGAGCTGCAAGGTTTTTTGCTCAGTCTATGGAGAGCTGCAGGATTCAGTGTTCTGTCTATGGAGAGCTGCAGGATTCAGTGTTCTGTCTATGGAGAGCTGCAGGGTTCAGTGTTCAGTCTATTGAAAGCTGTAGGGTTCAGTCTATGGAGAGCTGCAGGGTTCAGTGTTCAGTCTATGGAGAGCTGCAGGGTTCCGTATTCAGTCTATGGAGAGCTGCAGGGTTCAGTCTATGGAGTGCTGCAGGGTTCTGTATTCAGTCTATGGAGAACTGCAGGGTTCAGTGTTCAGTCTATGGAGAGCTGCAGGGTTCAGTCTATGGAGAGCTGCAGGGTTCAGTCTATGGAGTGCTGCAGGGTTCTGTATTCAGTCTATGGAGAGCTGCAGTGCTCAGTCTATGGAGAGCTGCAGGATTCAGTCTATGGAGAGCTGCAGGGTTCAGTGTTCAGTCTGTGGAGAGCTGCAAGGTTCAGTCTATGGAGAGCTGCTGGGTTCAGTCCATGGAGAGCTGCAGGATTCAGTCTATGGAGAGCTGCAGGGTTCAGTGTTCAGTCTGTGGAGAGCTGCAAGGTTCAGTCTATGGAGAGCTGCTGGGTTCAGTCCATGGAGAGCTGCAGGATTCAGTCTATGGAGAGCTGCTGGGTTCAGTTAATTACAAACTGCAGGATTTGTTTCATTTTATGTCTTCTGCCTGGAACCTGCACCTTTATGTTGATTATTTTTACTTTTAGGATATCGAGACAACTAATGGAGAGTCATTAAGCAGACAGAAAGACACAGACTGTGTGGCCAACGGAACATCTTAATATACTTCGAGCCCATCCTACCCAGCTGCAATAATAATGTATAAATACATATAAATAGATATATATGTATATAAAAAGCATGTGTTTTATTCGGGGGGGGGACCTACAAGCTATATATAGAATACTGGGCTGCATTTATTCTGTTTCACGTTAATATTCCTACTTTGATCCTCCACATTGACTCTCTGCTATTCCTGTACTGACCTCACACACAGCTCTGTCACTACACCTCCATCCTGCCCTGCAGCTCTCTCTGCTATTCCTGTACTGACCCCACACACAGCTCTGTCACTACACCTCCATCCTGCCCTGCAGCTCTCTCTGCTATTCCTGTACTGACTCCACCCACAGCTCTGTCACTACACCTCCATCCTGCCCTGCAGCTCTCTCTGCTATTCCTGTACTGACCCCACACACAGCTCTGTCACTACACCTCCATCCTGCCCTGCAGCTCTGTCTGCTATTCCTGTACTGACCCCACACACAGCTCTGTCACTGCACCTCCATCCTGCCCTGCAGCTCTCTCTGCTATTCCTGTACTGACCCCACACACAGCTCTGTCACTGCACCTCCATCCTGCCCTGCACCTCTCTCTGCCATTTCTGTACTGACCCCACACACAGCTCTGTCACTGCACCTCCATCCTGCCCTGCAGCTCTCTCTGCTATTCCTGTACTGACCCCACACACAGCTCTGTCACTGCACCTCCATTCCTGTAGTGATACTACACACAGTTTTGTCACTACAACTTAGTTTGTAGTTCAAGATACATAGGCTGTGCCTAAATTCATCTTAGAAATACAAATTGATCTGTAATGTACCGAATGACTGAAATGCAATGCAGCCCTAGGTTATATGAGGTGTCTGTTCCCCAGATAGTACTCCGTACTCTTATATGTGAGTGGTGCACAGTAAAAGAGTACGCTGTGATGATGGCTCGTCTTGGATTTTTTAGCCATGAAACCTGAAAGCGATGTGACGACAACCTGGCCTTACACCAACATTCCCCATCCCGTCTCATAAAATGCATTTATCCCAAAGGCAACATTAATGGCAACATCGAGGTACTCTAAAATATATATCAAAAGAAAGTCTCGTAAGGCAACAAGGTAGAAAAGAGTACAATACCCGAATTCCTGGTAACATGGCCACCTTTACGAACAATTCATCCAACTTCGGTGAAAGACACAAACATTTTATTAAGCGGCTTATCTCATAATATTGTATGGCAAATCAGTCGTGTTTTCTAAAATAAAAATCATGTATATGTTGCGTGAAAAATACTGAAATAACACACCGAATGGTGTCTGTGGGTAATGTACAGATAATGTGTACTAATTTGGTTTCATCTCCAGTCAATGAAGACAGTGTCTGGTGCAATGCGTAATATTAAAGTATCCTTGTGTGAATCTGCTGGGAAGGACATTGCTAATTAGTGCTTAGTAATATAGAATGAAACCAATCAAAGTGAGCGTCAGAAGGATAATCTGAGAAACATTGCAAAGTTATAGATAGTGTATCCGCATTACCTGAACAGTACACTATATTTCCTTAATATTCCAAATGATACATTTGCCCAACGAATGTTATCCTTGGTTTGAGTGATTTTCTCCACTTCCTCTGTGTTTTGCTATATTATTCAGTTTGCTGATTTAGAAGCACTTGTTATCAGACCAGCCTGCACTGAATATCTTCTCTTTGGATTTTTATGCTTTATAGGGAACTTTAAAATATACCACAAAAAGTTCAGATTCAAACAATTAAACAGCATTAACTGCACATTAAAATGTGAAAATGAAGAATGTTTTGTCGTCCGAGGACTTCGTCTGCTGGTCGCACGGTAAATGGGCCTGCACTGGACAGAAAGGATCAAATTCAGGGGGGTGGGGGGGTTACATTACGGTTATTTATAGAACTCCATCATATTCCGTAACTCTTTATATATCCCCACTGTGTAATTATAAACAAATAATTGACAGATAAGAAATGTTGACAAATAGAAGAGGTCCTTGCTCAAAGGAGCTTACAATCTAGGAGGGAGAGCAATATGGCGGATAGGAGGAGAGGGTGGTCGATATTGTAGTTCAGATTGTACTAGTGGTGTGTGGAGGAACTGGAGAGTAAGTGCACTGTGGAAACAGGTTACTAGGGAGATTTATCAATGGAAACCAATAGAAGATGATCTCATAAATCACTCCTGTGTGTAAGGGCAGGTGGACATGAGTTTTAATGGACAGGACACGTTGGAGAAATTCTGTAGGTGAGCACAGGGCTCTATGAATAACAGAGAAACCTGAGACGTGTAATTGGTAAAGCGGTCGTATCACTTGGGAGTCTTTGCATATTTCGATAAGACCCCAAAAGGGGTTTGGGAGCCTGTGGGGAGGCGGGGAGAGCTCGTGCCTTATGTACATGTATGAAGCACTCCTTCATGGGCGCCCTCATCTTGTGTAATAGGAACCGTAGGTTTTTTAGTAGATCTACTTACACCACGCAGAAACACTTGCTGATTTCCCAAATCCATTGCGAGAGATGGCTGCTGGTATTGGCAAAACCTGACTGTGCAAGCTCCATATTTTATTAAGTGTTGTCAACCTGTCTTACCCATAAGATGAAGTCATTCCTACATTGTCTAAAAAATGTGTTGCTTGGAATCAGGAAGAATATTTCCGAAAGATGTTATTATGTGACAGGGCCAGGGCTTCGTATGTCGGTCAGTAGTTTGAATTGGACAGTAAGCACTACCCAAGGGACGAGTGGTAGCGGTGGGGCAGTAGGGGTACTGGGAATACTGAAATGCTTTCATTGCCTTGGGTCCAGTACTACTTCATGCTGGTAACTATTTGTTCTGTCGCACATAATGTCACACACACTCTCCCACATAACACACACTTTGTCATGCGTGAAGACATGAGCTCACACACTAATCCATCCCCCAGGTCCAAGCCTTGCATAGCTTGCACTGGGCACTCACACTCACAATGGATGGCCTGGGGGGGAGGGGGAGTAGAGACAGTTTGTGGAGGAGCCCCCCTTCCCTCCCTCCTCCTGAATCTGCAAAACAAAGCCCCAGAGCTTGGCATGGGGGAGGGAGGGAGGGAGCTCTGCAGGGGGCAGCTATACATGTGTATATGAAAGCCCAGGCTGGGGACTTCACATCACAATATGTCAAAGCTTAGTAAATACATGAAAACATGGTATGGGAGATTCTCATTGTCCACAGTCATGTATACTGTGTGAGCAGAACAATATGTATCTATGATGTAGATTATGCAGAGCGGTGTGTATCTGTGATGTAGATTATGCAGAGCGGCGTGTATCTGTGATGTAGATTATGCAGAGCAGTGTATCTGTGATGTAGATTATACAGAACAATGTGTATCTGTGATGTAGATTATGCAGAGCAGTGTATAAAGTATACAGAGCAATATGGATCTGTGATGCGGGGTATGCAGAGCAGTGTATCAAGTATACAGAGCAATATGTATCTTAGATGTAGGATATGCAGAGCAGTGTATAAAGTATACAGAGCAATATGTATCTTAGATGTAGGATATGCAGAGCAGTGTATAAAGTATACAGAGCAATATGTATCTTAGATGTAGGATATGCAGAGCAGTGTATAAAGTATACAGAGCAATATGTATCTTAGATGTAGGATATGCAGAGCAGTGTATAAAGTATACAGAGCAATATGTATCTTAGATGTAGGATATGCAGAGCAGTGTATAAAGTATACAGAGCAATATGTATCTTAGATGTAGGATATGCAGAGCAGTGTATAAAGTATACAGAGCAATATGTATCTTAGATGTAGGATATGCAGAGCAGTGTATCAAGTATACAGAGCAATATGTATCTTAGATGTAGGATATGCAGAGCAGTGTATAAAGTATACAGAGCAATATGTATGTGATGCAGAGTGTGCAGAGCAGTGTATAAAGTATACAGAACAATATCTATCTGTTATGTAGGATATGCAGCGCAGTGTAAATTTGTGCATTTAAGTGAAGGCATACAGTGAGTAGAGAAGTGTGTACCTTTGATGCAGTGTATATAGTATATGGAGGGTAGTGTACACAGTGTGCAGAACAGTGTGTCTCTAATTTGTAGTGTATACAGCGAGCAGAGAGGTGTGTGCCTCTGTTTGCAATCTGTACAGAGCAGTGTGTTTTCTTATTTGTATTTTTTACAGCGTGCAGAGCAGTGTGCGTATTTGCAGTGTATACAGTGTGCAGAGCAGTGTCTGTATTTGCAGTGTATACAACGTGCACAGCAGTGTGTGTCTATTTGAAGTGTATATAGTGTGTAGAGCAGTGTGTGTATTTGCAATGTGTACAGCTTGCAGAGCAGTGTGTATCTGTGGGTGCAGAGTATGCAGTGAGTAGAACAGTGTGTATCTGTAGGCGCAGTGTGTACTATGAATAGAACAGTGTGTATCTGTAGGTGCAGTGTGTACAGTGAGTAGAACAGTGTGTATCTAGGCGCAGTGTGTACTGTGAGTAGAACAGTGTGTATCTGTAGGCGCAGTGTGTACTATGAATAGAACAGTGTGTATCTGTAGGTGCAGTTTGTACTGTGAGTAGAACAGTGTGTATCTGTAGGTACAGTGTGTACTGTGAGTAGAACAGTGTGTATCTGTAGGTACAGTGTGTACAGTGAGTAGAACAGTGTGTATCTGTAGGTGCAGTGTGTACTGTGAGTAGAACAGTGTGTATCTGTAGGCGCAGTGTGTACTATGAATAGAACAGTGTGTATCTGTAGGTGCAGTGTGTACTGTGAATAGAACAGTGTGTATCTGTAGGTACAGTGTGTACAGTGAGTAGAACAGTGTGTACTATGAATAGGACAGTGTGTATCTGTAGGTGCAGTTTGTACAGTGAGTAGAACAGTGTGTATCTGTAGGTGCAGTGTGTACTGTGAGTAGAACAGTGTGTATCTGTAGGTACAGTGTGTACTGTGAGTAGAACAGTGTATCTGTAGGTACAGTGTGTATCTGTAGGTACAGTGTGTACTGTGAGTAGAACAGTGTGTATCTGTAGGTGCAGTGTGTACAGTGAGTAGAACAGTGTGTATCTGTAGGTACAGTGTGTACTGTGAGTAGAACAGTGTGTATCTAGGCGCAGTGTGTACTGTGAGTAGAACAGTGTGTATCTGTAGGTACAGTGTGTATTGTGCGTAGAACAGTGTGTATCTGTAGGCGCAGTGTGTACTGTGAGTAGAACAGTGTGTATCTGTAGGCGCAGTGTGTACTGTGAGTAGAACAGTGTGTATCTGTAGGTGCAGTGTGTACAGTGAGTAGAACAGTGTGTATCTGTAGGTACAGTGTGTACTGTGAGTAGAACAGTGTGTATCTAGGCGCAGTGTGTACTGTGAGTAGAACAGTGTGTATCTGTAGGTACAGTGTGTATTGTGCGTAGAACAGTGTGTATCTGTAGGCGCAGTGTGTACTGTGAGTAGAACAGTGTGTATCTGTAGGTGCAGTGTGTACTGTGAGTAGAACAGTGTGTATCTGTAGGTACAGTGTGTATTGTGAGTAGAACAGTGTGTATCTATAGGCGCAGTGTGTACTATGAATAGAACAGTGTGTATCTGTAGGTACAGTGTGTACTGTGAGTAGAACAGTGTGTATCTGTAGGTACAGTGTGTACAGTGAGTAGAACAGTGTGTATCTGTAGGTGCAGTGTGTACTGTGAGTAGAACAGTGTGTATCTGTAGGTACAGTGTGTACTGTGAGTAGAACAGTGTGTATCTGTAGGTACAGTGTGTACAGTGGACAGAGCCGTGTTTATGCCCAGTGCAGTGTAATTCTGTAGGTGGTGTATATAGTATGTGCAGAGCAGAGTAATAGTGATATGCATAACCGCAGAGCATTATGCATGTGCACTTAAGTGTTGTATCCATATGCAGAGCACTGTACATATAGATCCATGTTTATATGCATATGCTCTGCACATTGTGTGTGCTTGTGTATATGTGTGAAGAACATTTTCTATTCATATGCAGAGCAATGTTTATATATGCCTTTGTAAAATCAAACCATGGACTCTATGCATGTGCAGAGCATTGTGTAAATGTTGATCAGATTATATGTCTGATAGATGCTGAGCCGCATGTATATGTAGGGCTCAGCATCTACATATGAGCAGAGCAGTATGAATATGTAGGACTCTCTGTATGTACAGAGCAGTGTATATGTCAAGAGGTGTGTGTGTGTAGAGCAGTTTATATAAGCTGAACAGTATGTATATCTATGTGCAGAACAGTGTGTATGTATGTGTGGGTATATATATGCAGAGCAGTACAGTATATATGTGCAGAGCAGTACAGTATATATGTGCAGAGCAGTACAGTATATATGCGCAGAGCAGTATAGTATGTATGTGCAGAGCAGTATGTATATCAATGTGCAGAGCAGTATGGTATATATGTGCAGAGCAGTATAGTATATATGTGCAGAGCAGTATGGTATATCTATGTGCAGAGCAGTATGGTATATCTATGTGCAGAGCAGTATG